CTTGTGTAATTTCACCTCCTTATACAGTGTCTATGTACTATCTACCACCCCTTGCCAATGTACAAAAGTGATTTGGGGCCTTACATGACAAATACAAACGACTTGTCGATCATCACATGCCCGGTGACTTTCATGGGGCTGTACCGCATTTTCACACATTTGCTGATGGCATGGGGAGGCATTCACAGGCAATATGGGCACACTTGGTGACGTTTCCACCTCCAAGCCGTTACATCAAATTCAATCATTCAGAGAACCGTAGCGGGCGGATCAAGCTCTCAACAGATTCTATAATCAAGTTTGGAAAAGTACTCGAGTAGCAAGATGGAGTAGTCGTGTAAGTAGAATAAGTATCGTCATTTTAGGAAAAGCTTCAAGAACTTGATTCGATTCCATACGTCAGATGAGGTCAGACGTAAGGATATTGCTTTGGAACCCAAGGGCCAGCGTCATGGAGATTAGGTGGGCTTCCACCTCCATCTGGTTTCATTTAGACCTCGGAGCATCGCGTTGACCGCTCGGATAGACTTGACCAGTATGGTTTTTATCTGATCTAGAGGCTCTGGTATCGCTGACATCGAACGGTGGATCCATCTCATACCACAGGATTATGTGCATCCCCGAGTCCTTCAGTCTGGGTATCCTTCTCAACGTACACGGGACCCGCCCCTAGGCTCTGTTGTACAGATGAGGTCAGAGACCGCGCAATCTCCCCCGCTAAAATTTTCCGCTTCCACTTCCGTGCCATTTTCACTAGCTCAAGCACATAAAGCGCGATCGCTACTATCGCGCTAAATAAAGCCAGGGTCTGCCCATAAGTCCAAGCATTTTCCGCACCAGGTTCAACATTAGGGCTATTAATGCGGATAGTGAGCTCTGTCGACACGATTGTATAGATGAGGGGGGCACAGATGGAGAGGCCGATGGGAAACGTGAAAAGCTGCGAATATATGGGACCGACAAGGAGGGCCGTGGTGTATGATTGGACGCTGCGTTGTATGGTGTGGATGCGCTGCGCGACGGAGGAAAAAGGCCTACTGAGTAAGGTCATTAAAAGCTGTATGAAGTGCAAGCGGAAGAATGGACGGATGATCAAGGTGAATATAGGGTATGCAATCATTGAAACAATCATGAAGGCCACTCCGAGCACGAGCACTAGTATCGTAAAAGCAACCAAGAAACCTAGAATCGCCAATACCATAAAGGCACCAAGGAGGTACAAGCCTAAAATTGGGATGGCGCTGACTGCATAAAAGACAATTGAGCCATTGCGAAGTCCCTTTTCCGATATCTCGATTCCACGGCCAAATACCCAGTAATAAGTTACGGCTCGGCATGGCTGCACTGGGGCAGCGGATGCATACCCGAGGAATGGTGTTAAATTGGCCCAAAAGTACATACCCAAGCCTGACATAACGACTGCATGGACGCTGCAGGGAATGGACGAGACTAGGGAATCCTTGGTCACGAGCAGATTGCCGGCCCAACCACCCCCTTCTAATGGGCGGAACCCGCCACGGAAGACCAAGAGGACGAACCCAGCCCAGTTATTAATTTGGCTGATGTTGAGTACGATGAGTGCGTGGTAAGCTGTCAGGCCCGACGCAGACCGAGCCTGAATGATGGCGCTGAGGATAACGGCAAAGCCGATCATGAAGAGGGAGCGCTCAAGCCCTTTTGCCAATCCAATGAATTCGCTGTTAGAGTGGATGAAGGCCTTGAAAGAAGATGCTTCTCTGGCTGCCTCCAGGTCAGCGGGGGTAGCAGAGATGTTTGTTGCATGGCTTTTTTGAGATGGCGGACGTGAAATAAGGCGTGTACTGGCTTGGTTTGCGCTCGAGATATTGCACGCGGAAGTCGAAGCTCGTGCTGAGTTGCCCAGACTCGGAGAAACCATTTCGATTTCATCTTCACGGCGGACATCATTGTACACCCGCGTATGAACGAGGTATAGGAGATTGAAACCTGCTAGGCATGCTTGCACATAGACCGAGGCTCTCACGCCAATTCCTACGATTTTATTAAATTATTGACCAGAAAGGTGTTCAAGTCGACAAAAATACGTACCAGCAATATCAGAATTACCTGGAATTTGGCAAATCACATCTGTCCCAGCCATTGGCAGGATGGAAGCCGGTAATTGAACGTTGAGGTCTTCTCTATGGCGCTCATTGTTGTTGTTATCATTACGTGGGGCTCATGGATGCCTCGTGCTAAATTATGAAAGCGGGCGCAAGTGCTATAAACGTTAACGCCGTTTCGATAGGTCTTCATTTCTTCCTATTCGTCCCAACAGTATTCTGTTCGAGTCTCTTTGGCATTGCGGCAACACTCTCTCAAGTAAGGTCTTCATTTTTTAAGGATATCAAGCCCACTAGACCTCGTTGCGCTTTAACTCAACCAAGGAATCACAATACACTCAATCAGCTAGAGTCACACGATGCATTGTATGAACACTTTTGATTTGATTTGCGAAGACTTTTAAGACCCAAAACTACTCCAATCAATATTGACACGACTGAAGTCAGATAAGCCACATCGAGCGAACGAGGAGGCAGTGATGGCGATGCGACCAATCGCGCAATGGCGTGCTTCGGACTTCAAACGGCGAGTGCGCGCGCCGTCGATCTTCAGCGGATTACTGATGAGACATTGCTGAGATTGTCCAAGCCAACACAGTTTTGGGCGATTACTCTGCAGATATTTGAGTTCAGAGATATAAAACATGATAAGAGGGCAAAGTACGCACTGGAACGAGCTCTCATCTTTCTGCGCTTGCGCCTGAGCCTGCGGGATCTCTTTTTCTTCCACTTTTCTCTCATTCTGTGAATATCGCGGTGAGTGGCGATGAGCGATTTGAAATAGTGTGGACAACGCACTCGTGGAGTTAATGGAGGAACTGTTGTCTCGGAATCGCGGTGCGCGTGTTGGGTACCGAGGTACTGTATAGCTCTTAGTCATCTTTTCCCACCCCGCACTCGGCCCAGCGGCAGGTTCGAATACAATCCATAAAATTTCTTAATTTCCAATGAGCAAACGCAAGCTCGTCCCTGCAGCATTACATGCAGAACTTTCCGAATACTCCTCGCTCATACGAGCGCTACGCACCAGTAATACCCTCGATGTTACTTCACATATAGCTAAGCTTGGACCTGGACATGACGATCTGGACCTCAACTCGGACGATGATGAGGTTCTCAGCGAGGACGAGGTCCTGGCGAACGATGTCCAACCTCACGAACAAGAATATGACACAGACACGATGACGAACTTGGACTTTCCACCAAGCACGGCATATGACTCACAGAATTCCCCTTCCCAAGCCTCTGAAACCACAAAGGATCCCTTGTCTTTTTCTGGAAGCCAGAAGCGTAGAAGGGAGGATTCCTCGTCCCCGCTGCGGCCGCGTAAACGGGATATATGGACTCGCTGGCCCCTTCTCATGGATGATGTTTACGTACCGGAGTGGAGCTTTGAAGACGAAGTCGCACTTCTCGCAACTAGGACGTTGAAGAGTCGAAGACAGCCCATTGTCTCAGTCACAAACTCCTTCGATCAGCTTGGAGATTGTCTCGCAGAATTAGTTGATGTAGATGAATATGACGCCGATTCCTCTTTCCTTCCCCATTTAACCAACGCGGCTTCAAACCATCTCTCTACCATTATGGCATTACTTGTAGCACATACTCCTAATCGTTCTTTGGGACTGCAAAACCGTGTTGAGCCATTGGGGTGGCGTGCCGTTCTTGAGGTCTTGAGTTCGTGTGCAAATCCCAGTGTAGCAGATCCAAAGTGTGTATCATCCTTTGTACTATACCATACTTTTTAACACTCTGTGCATAGGATAATCAAGATAGTTGAATCTCGCATGGAAACATTATATGGACTCCCCGATAGTCATAACAATCCCGCCTCCGAAATCCTAGGTTCGCCGATTCTGGGGCTGCCTGCATAACACTGACTATTGGTTAAAATATAGCGGCACATCGCATCCAATCCAATATCAATGCTAAACAAAAATTAAGGGCTCGAATTGGCAAACCAACGGAATCCCTGTTAAGCCTTCCCTCGCCACCAGCGGGCCCGTCAACATCTCAGCCGCGACTCAAGCAGCCTAGGACTCGGCGTATAATCACAACGAGAAAAGTTCGACATCCACCACCCAAGACCCCTGTGTTTATCGAAAACGAAGATGTCTGAAACTGCTATCGATTAAAGTGTTCCTCGATCCCTGAACCCTTGCTTAATCCTGCATCGGCGCTCCGTCACGCCACTGTCTTTGGAAAACCCGCCTTGTCATGAACGAGGCGATGTTTGCCTCACACGTCCACGTGCTCTCGGTTTGCATATTTGTGCTTGAAGGCATGGTCCATACACTCCTCAACTTCGTCTTTCTTCGTCACCTTGATAAAATGCAAAAAGCTTCTCCCGCCGTCTCTTAACCATCATCCACCTCTGACTCGTCTGTACTCCACATTCATTTAACTACAGTGACTACACCAATAATCATGCATTCTCCGACCCAATGAACATAAACATGGTTACTCAGTTGATCTAGCCTATGATGCAACACTGTGAGTCACTGAGGCAGCTCAGTCGGTGGCAGCGCCATAGGATGTTTAATAGGATGTGGTCAAAATGGGCGTTTATATATTGTGCGTGACTGCCGCTGACGTTGAGCCTTTAGTGTTCCACCGGTTCTTGATGAAATCCAGCTTCGTATTGAGGAGTGGCGGTGTATCGAGGAGTGTCCAGGGATCTGAGACACTTGGAACCCAATCACAAATCTCCTTCTCGTTCGAGATAACAAAAAAAAATCGTAATGGTAGTGCGACGTGCAAGGAAACCATCTTCAAGCTCATCCGCGAGGAGTTCGATGAACTGAACCCTGCTATCGAGCTCTTTTTATTGAATTACTATAAGTTATAATGTAAGTTATATAAAAAAACACCTCCACATAAACATCTAGGTGGGATAGCTTGACGCGTCCTAAAATATTTCTCTCTGCCTGGGAGTCGAACCCAGCTTTCGCGCGGAGACAACAATTGACAGGCGCGTGTACTAACCGATATACTAGCAAAGAAGTTGTTGGCCCGAATGTGATAGTCTGTTTTGAATATCTGTGATACTAACCGAGAGCTACGAGTCTGGCTCATCTTTGGTAATTATAACTTATTAAAAGAGATGTAATCTCAATTTTTGATCCTCAAGATCTACCTCATGTAAAATCGAGAATATGGGGCGGTTGCTTGCGACGAGTGTCCTCAACTTCAAGCCTCCGCGACGCCGTCGACGCGTCTCATCGCGATCACGTGGCGCTCGGTTTGGATCCCGAGCCGACTCCAAACTGACTTTAATTGTCATCGACCTCCAGGCCAATTCCGTTTCCCTCCCTCCCTCCCCATGTCGTCGTCGTCAGCGTTCCTTGACCAGTACGAAACATTAGATGTCATCGGGAATGGGTCCTTTGGTATTATCCGAAAAGTCAGACGGAAATCCGATGGCTTAGTGCGTTTTTCTCTGCCACCTTGTCTGTAGAGTTTGGCTTACCGGACGCGTTCAAACCCATGCAGGTATTTGCTCGAAAAGAGCTCAACTTTGAGCGTATGAATGACCGCGATAGGAAGCAGATCGTAGCCGAGGTGTACGTCCATCGACTGCACGTGTTCAGCGCAAAAGACTGAGCTCCTGCAGCAACATTCTGAAGGACCTAGCCCATGATCACATAGTGCGGTACCATGATCGTCACGTTGACCGAGAGGCGGGCATCCTATACATTCTCATGGAATACTGCGGCGGGGGCGACCTATCGACTGTGATCAAGCAGGCAACACGCACGAATCGACCAATACCGGAGGACAAAATCTGGGGATACTTCCTCCAGATTCTACTGGCATTGAACTACTGTCATCAGCCGAATGGACATGCGAGAGGCGGGAGTGGAGGTGGCAGTGGTGCGAGCGCTGTTGAGAATGCTGGGACAGCGACACGCGCACAGATTTTGCATCGCGATTTGAAACCTGATAATGGTGCGTACGCGATGCATTTCTCAGCCTTCCGAGTTGACCTCTTTTGTAAAGTGTTTCTTGACACGGCCGATAAAGTAAAATTGGGAGACTTCGGACTATCACGGGCGTTGACTCAAACTACCTTTGCGAGCACATATGTTGGGGTACGTTCTTATTTAATTTTAATCTTTTGGTTAAGACCGTGGGTTATACGGTTATCCCACCCAAGCTTGTCCTTTACATCGCCATTGCCATACCCCATGTATTCTGGTTTCTTATCTTTCATTACTCAACCTTCTATATTATATATATTGACGCCTGCTGCAGACACCATACTATATGTCCCCTGAACTCATGCAAGAAAAAGCCTATGACACCAAATCCGACATCTGGTCGCTAGGATGCGTAATATACGAACTGTGTGCTCTCAGACCCCCTTTCCATGAAGCCAAAACACACCAAGAATTGAGCAACTGTATCCGGTGAGAGTCCGCATACCCATCTAGTTGGAACATTTCCTCACCCGTGTAGAAATGGCCGGATACCACCCCTTCCCAGAGGATACTCACAAACTCTTGCGGGCGTCATCAAATCGATGTTAAATCTTAACGTGAGCTGCCATTCTCTAATAGCTCATTGATACTAAGTTTCCTCTCCCGTAGCCCGCAATGCGTCCCTCGGCTGCTCAGCTCCTTCAGCATGAACGTCTCGCACTCACCCTGAAGGTGATTGAGGCTGAGAAGATGTAAACGGACCCGTACACCATTTTAGGACTCTCGCTGATCATTACATCTAGCTTGGCGTCTGTGAAAAGTCATCGCGCGGATGCAGCAGCAAAAGAACGCGACCTCAACGTGCGGGAGTCGATGTTACTTGAGCGAGAACAACAGATGGTGGCGGCAATCGCGCAAAAGGATACAGAGATCATGAACCTCCAATGTCTAGTAGCCTCGCTACAGGAGCAGCAACAGCACAATCAGACTCAGAGGTATTCACAACAGCAGGTGGAGGTAGCGATAAAGGAGGCGGTAGGGCGGCGAGAGGAGGAGTTGCGTGTGCTGGTGATGAAGAGAGAGAAAGAGGTGGCAGATGCGATGGCACGAAGAGAAGAGGAAATCATGGAGGCGGTTAGACGGAGAGAGGCTGAGGTATGTGAGGCATGGACAGCCAGAGAGACGGAGATCAGGAGGGAGATCGAGGAGAAGGTCAAAGAGGTGGACGAGAGGGTAGACTGGATTCAAGCAAAGGAGGAGGAATTGAAGGCAGAGGATGCGCGGCTCGATGTTGCTCGCGCAGATCTTGATGCGAAGATGGTTAAATGGGAGGAGGTCAAAGGTCAGTTCAAGAATTCCTTCGACAGAGTTTGTCTCATATGTGCAGGTCGTCAAGAGAAGACACCGCTAGAAGAGGTCAAAAATATTCTTGCGCCACTTGCGCGCTTGGCTGATGATACCCCGTCTCAACGACGAAGACGAGACAGCAACCCAACCCCCAGACCACTAAAGGCGCCTACATGTCTTTCTACTCCGCTCACCCGACCTCTGAAGTTTGATGCTATGCCATCAGCGATGAAGGGTGTTGTGCTTACCTCTACCGGAGAGGTACTTGCCACTCCCACGCCTACGGAGCTCACGACTTTGTTCACAAATTCGCCGAGGGTTGGCTTGAACTTCACCAAGATATTCGACTTCGAAAGCAGCGGAGAGGAGGACGAGGACGAAACAACGAAAATCACACCGGCCACTGCGGTTAGGGAACTTGAGCCGACTCCGCCACCTAGCCCCAGCTCGAGGAAAGAGAAGGACAGGTCGAGAACAAGGGGGAGAGACCGCGAACCTTCCTCTGACGCAGGATCTTCAACATCAACGTCATCCTCGAATGCAACCAGCTCATCAAACGCGCCTCCGACACGCTTGCGCCGGCCCTCGATTCGTTCTCGGCCTCCGGTGCAGAGATCTGTGACACTACCGTCATCATCTTCTACACCAGAAGTGTCATCCGGTAGCACCTCCTCGCATGTCGTGCCGAAGCCGCTTCCCCATCCCCACCTCAACGGTACTACGAGAACCACGGTACCGATACCCCGCTCCCAAGCTGCACCAGAATACGACTTAGCCGACGAAGAAAATCTGCCCAGTCCGTTTATCAAACGTAACATGGATCGCCCAACGACGACACGCTCGTCCTCCATGAAACCACTGAAGAAACACCCCAGTACTGGGCACTCATTACGCGCGGTGGCGGCTGCGAATGTTGCGGCGGGCAAACGTATATCTGCATCGCTGTCATCAGACGATGTCCCTACAGAGCCAAGCGGTGGGAGTAATACGCGACCGGCTCTGGCAAGCGCTCGCAAGGCGAGTGAGGAGGCACGTAAAGCGCTCTCCCGGTCATGATTCAGATTTGTCGACTGGGCGCCCAGAGTGTACGAGATAGCTTGTTGTGAGGGTGTTCTCTCAGTTTGGCGGCCAAGTTTTCCTTCAATTGCAAGTTCTTTCTCATCCTGTTCCTATCGTTCTGGGTTTGCTTGTTGTACACTTGGCATTATGTTACGCACTACGAATTCCAGGTATGAATAGAGTATACATACATTTTATAACCCTCACAAGTTGTGTAACATTCTGGATTAATAATAGGCAGTATGGGGAATTTAATCTCGCTGGCGCTAGATCGTGGGCGGGAGTACCAAGGTTCGTGGAGTGCAAAAGGTCGCAGTAATCAATACCAAGAGTTGAATAAGTAGACCAAGAGTGTCTTGTCAACTTCGCCGTCAAAGTGACAATATCGGGAAATGTGGATCGGCGGCCTCGGCATCTCACATGGCCAGCCGGAGAATCAGCCACACGTGGCGATGATGATGGTTCCTTGTAATGTGGGCCGGCTTGTGCGTGGACTTGGAAATTCTTAGCGGTACCAAGGGGATATTGGAGTGACTGATCCTTGATATTCCCGCCATATCTTAAACAGCAGAAAGGTAGACGTGCCCTCCGATCCCAACTGTATCAACACTGTCCTTACTCCTACATTCCTAGAAGTCATGGCTGTCTCCGCACAGGTTGTCGGTGTTGTTGCGTTTTATATGGTGGCAGCTCTAGTCGTGAGTTGCCCCCTTGTCCGTTTTCACGAAGAGGCTCAATGATATTCTGCAAAAGATGGTGTTCGTTAACAAAGTGGTCCTCAATTCGACCCCGAACCTGCCCACTCTTTTTATGTTCTTCCAATCTATCATGACGGTCCTCCTTCTCAACTTCACTTCACTCTTCACTTCGCACGTCAAAATTCCTTCATTTGACAAATCGACCGCCCGCAAGCTTACACCTTTGATTCTGGTCGACGCTTCTGGTTTTATTTTCAACGCTCTTTGCCTCCGCGATGTGGAGGCTGCCTTTTACCAGATCGCCCGCGGGCTAGTCCTGCCTTTGACTATCGCTGTCGTCGCCCTCTCCAGTATGACCCGCCCTTCCTCCGCTGTCGTTGGTTGCGCTGCAGTCGTGACCCTTGGTTTCTTCCTGGGGATTTCCTTCTCTGAAGGCCTTCCAGCCCAGGCCGTCCCGGCACCACTCGCCTTGATATATGGGTTCCTTTCATCGCTCGCAATCGCTCTCCATGCGGTTCTCGTCAAGTCTTCACTTCCCCACGTTGGTGGTAGCAGCACCATGCTCTCATATTGGTCAAATCTAGGGTCCGCCGTCCTCCTCGGCGTCCTGGCTGTTCTCAAGGGCGAGGTGTGGGAGTTCTGGGGCATGATCAACAGCGGTAGTTGGGACTGGTCCACCTTCCTCTGGGGTAACCTTGTCACTGGTGTCTTTGGATTCCTCATCAGCATCGCCGGAATTCTCAGCGTCAAGGTCACCAGCCCAATCACCCACATGTTCTCCAGCGTAAGCCCCTTTATTCAACCCTGGCGTACCTTCTCGTCGACTAACGTTATTAATACTCCCAGGCGGCCAGGACCGGACTTCAGGTATTCCTCGGGGTCAAAATATTTGGGGATGTCTTCACGACGTACGTTATTCTCTTCAGTATCGTGTGCGGATAATTGATTTAACCTTGATCAGACAACGCGGTGTTTCGG